AGATATTTATCAAATAATTGTTTACTAGGAAGTTAGACGTGAAACGGATATATTTACCCATTTTTCCACCTGCTTCAAGTTGTGGGGTGTACAGGTCATCACCATGACTCCAAGAAGGAGCTGTCACTATGTACGTAGAGAACAGCAGTCATTCAAAGGACGAAGAGGAGGGAGGGAGTTGGCACTTGCAAATAAGAGGGTTTAGTTGTGAGCATCTACCTCAGCTCCAGATAGAGTGGAAGGAAAACCTGAGACATGTCTCTTATTCTTCAGTCAGCTTTTGATAGCTGCAAGTGAAAAGTGGCATGTAGATAAGCAAGGCTACCCAACCACCAACTCTTATGAACTAGTCCCTGCTTCTTTTTCTGCCTCTGTAGCAACAAGCTGCCTTTTGTCTCCTTGGATTTCTTGCCAGGCCTTCCCTAATGACTCTGGCACTCCACCTAGACAAGTATTACTGCTGTCCTCAGCACAATTTCCAGCCAGGAGTTATTAGGGGGGTGATGGGTTAAGAAAGCAAGAAAGGGGAAAAGGGAAAACACTGGAACTCATAAGCAAAGATTTCTGACTTGTGTAATTGATGTGGAGAAATGAAACTGCATATCAAGGGTATTCAGATCAGACATGCTACTCAGACCAAGGCTACTCAGACCAGTCTCAGGCCACGTTTCTAAAATGATTAAATAGCTTGCAAGGACTCTGTTTATGGATTACAATAGATTTAACCTGCAGCTTCTCACAGTCCATCACTCTCATTGTTCATTTATAACCAACAGGATGGCACAGCTGTTATTACTGATGTTGTTACTGACGCTTGTTACTTATGCATTTACTAATGGTGGTTCATAGATCATGATTTTGCTGGTTCTTAAGGGCATTCTCATGTGAAAACTTTTTCATATCACTTTTTAAAATTAAAGATTTTAAAATTTAAGGTACCAATGCACTAATAAATGCATGTAAAAGAACTTGTGCTCCATTCCCTGCTGCAGGCTGCAGGCTTGTAGCTGTACCTTTTCATACGACTCATGTTTTAATTTCTTATTGGTGATAACCAGAAATGCCAAAACCAAACCCTGCCTGTGAGAGTGAAGGATGCCCAGGCACAAGCCCCATGCATGGGAGGGTGAGGCGGGCGCCTGCCAGGCTCCCTCCTCCCTGGCTGGATCTGCCCCAGGAGCAGCCCCCAAGTGCGCAGCAATTCCCAGCTTCCTCCCAGCTTCCCAGCATGGGGTGAGTCAGGGCCTTCCTGTCCCATCTCTCTCCTGAATAACCATCCTTGGCCAAGTGCTGCCAAAATCCCAAGAGCCGGAGCCCACCAGTGCCCTGTGTGGGCCTGACCTCTGCAAAGGCATGGCCAGGCTGTGCTAACAGTGGGCAAGGTCAGCCCTCCCACCATGGTCAGCCCTCCTGGCACAGAAAAGCTGGATTTTTTAGTCATAGGGACTGCTACTCCCACAGAGAGTGCCCGGGACTGGGGAACCCATAGGCCACTGGGGCTTGAGCAGAAGTTTGGTAAATCTAAGAGCATCTTCCCTGTGCAGCACCAGGAACAAGCAGCTCAGTGTGGGATCCCTGCTTTTACATGGGGTGAATGGCTTCACTTTTGTTATGGTGTGTTACATCCAGCCAGGCTTCCGCTCACAGTTCCAGCTGGCCACGTTAAGCACTTCCAAGGAACTTCTCCTTTTCCTGTAGGTATTGTTTGTGTCCTAACCACAGCCCAGCTGTCTGCTCCACCCATGAAGTCTCTGCCTTCGCTTGCTTCAAGGCAGTACTTCCAGGGCTACTTTTTAATGGGCCATTACTGATAAGAGAGAGAATTTGGCCAGACAAAGAATGAGACTTTCCAAAATCTGTCTAAATGGAAGTTATAAGTTTGAGCGTGCCCTTTCCTCTTGGAAAGGAATTTTGGCAACTAATCTGTATTTATACAAATTAAGCTACCTTAATCTTGAAAATACAATGCATGCTCAGTTGTTTCTACCCTTTTGCTCGGAATTCCCCTCTGTGATGCGTCCTCTTTCTCTTTCTTCCACCCTTAAGGTCTCTATCCCATTTACCAAGTCTTCCTGTGGTACCTACCCTAGTTCTGGGACCTCACCCTGCTCTGGCCGTTTTACAGTGTAAGGAAGAGGCTGTAGCAATTTAGGAACTGGAGCAAGCAGTTTCACAGGAGATGCACATTGTAAGGAAGGGGAACAAACAGGGCTCTATCCCCTGGGTTGCATTGTACAGGGAGAAAGTCTAAATTGAAGAATGAATGCAAGTGGATTTAAGTACCGTTTAGTAAAAGAAAAATAAATCTGTTTTTTGCCTCCTTCAAAGAGGTAAAAAGTCGCCTGCAAATAGCTGAGATGTCTGACTGAGCTAGAAGTGACTCACCTGGAAATGGGGAGTGGCATCTGTACAGCTGGTGTTGTGGTGAACAATTAGCGCTGGGAACGCTGATCCAGGCAGGTCAATACATGTCATAAGGAAGTTCTGCATCACTGTAGCTGCTATAACCTGCATCTGGGGTAAGATGTTCTCAAACATCCTTGGCCAGAACCTAGGAAGTCCAACACTGAATCCACAATCTCCAAATGAAGGACAGCCAGCCCTGCTGCCATGTAAAAAGCTGTTCAGGAGAAAGCCCTCTCTGCTACTTCCCTGTACCTTGGAGTTGCCTTATATTTCTTCCATGCCTTAAATGGGTGCAGAAACACCGCTGCTGCTCTTTGCGCAGTGAAGATGATCTACTTCTCCTGCTAAGTCCTCTGGGCAGAGATGAGGTTTCTTGAGCGGGTGACTGTCTGTGGGGAAGTCAATAGCACTACAGCATCATAACTGCATGGGGCAGCCCACCCCGCTGCCCACTGGCCACGTGCACTGTAGAGCCAAGGACTTTCCCATCTCCCTGTTGGAAGACACTCAAGAGTGTGTGGGAAGAAATGTTGTCATCTCTCCATCTCTGCTGGATATATATTTCCGTGCAAGGCATTGAGTGTCTCAGAATTGCCAGGAGAAAGAAATTCTGGTCAGTATTACACCACGCGGTGCATAAAAGGATGGGGAAGGGACAACATATAAACGGGCTTGCATCAAATCTGCTGCTTTTGCAAGACTGTTGTGATAGCAGGCTATTGCCAAAATTAAACAATGAGCAAAGAAAGGCACTGGAGTCTTGAATTTCTGACACAGCAATGAAAGGTTCAGTTATACCTTTAGAGCAGATAAAGTCATAAGCTGTGACAGACACTCAGCAGAGTTCCTGTGGTTTCTAAAGAAGCCTCTCTCCAGTACAAGGCTGGTAATTATGCCATCGTGGAACTGTGTGACATATTTCCTTTAATTATTTTCCACTCTGTGGATTGTGCCACAGTTATTAAAATGTGGTTTTGAGGACTGAAACTTGTAATTCATTCTTTGATTATGAGGTACAGAGTGAAATGTTAATTATCATGCTAATTAGCGCTCACTAATTGATAGTGGTTGCTATATTGTATAAGCAATCGCCACATTATTAGGTTACTCCAACAATTTATTGCTTTCTTTTAAAAATAAGCTGATCATATAGCAAGTTCTCGGAAGCTAAAATTAAGAATTCTGTCTGAGCTGACTATGAGACACAGCTCATAAACTGCGATGCCAAAGCAAAGGTCTGATAGAGATGGTTAATTCACAATTCAGGGCTATGGGTCCTACAGAGAACAAAACATCAGGCCTTTTGCACATGCAAAGAAAAAATCTCCCTTCTAATTCAGGTACGAACAGGCACTCACTCCAGAATGGATAATGGAATGATTATATCTCTATTAGAATTAAAAAGGTTGAAAATTAGCCTTTGATTTTTATTTTTATTACAGTGCACACATAGCTAGATAATATTCTCCAGAGTCTATAAAGGGAATAACTGCTCTGACCTCTGAAACTCCATTGCCAGCAAGAGAAGAAAATACAAACAGTCTGCCATGTTTACAAATTATGCCAAAGGATATGTTTTATACCGATTTTTGATTATTTCTCCCAACGCCAAGGTATTTTTTTTGAATGTAAGCCGCCAACACTTATCTTTACCTAGCATATTAAAAAGCAGTGTACATTTATATAATACAGCATATTTATAGCAGTATACATTTCTCTAAACAAAATTAATGTGTAGATTATTGTTGTGTATGATCTTACGTATCTATGCACATATGTATATATCTATGTACACAGCTGTATGTATGTACATATGTGTACACACATCATATTTGTACCACATTGTCCTGGTTTGATAGTGTGTGTCATTCTCTTTTGCACACTTCAGTATCTGAAAGTGCCCTTTGCGTACATCTGTTGCCAAATCTCAGATATTCTATGAACTGCCACCTCAAGTGTCATCAGTGTTTGCTGTGTGATGTGATGCAAGAGTGATTGGTTTATTTTTCACCAGAATGTGTTTATTTAAAAATATGGGGCTTTTCTACAAGGTTTGACAATGTGCGGCCAAAAAAAAAGCTTCGCATACAGTCAGGTTACATCAATATTTATTGTTTAACCTCAGAAAAAATGTATTAGTGGAAACACCCAGAAAGAAAACAAAGGATCCACAGTTCCCCAGAGCTCTCCAGGCATCTTGTCCATCTTGCTCTGAAAATAACCTCCTGGGTGGGGGTGAAGGCGGCCCCGTCTGCACAAGCCATGGGGCGGTGAAGGGCACAGCCACGGCCCGGGGCGCCCCTGAGTCCTCACCGCACGAACCTCCTTTCGGGGAAGGGGCGACGCTGCTTCTCCAGGCCGGGGCGGCCGCGGGCGCACGCTGCTTTGCACGGGCCGCAGCGGCCCGCACAGCTGCCTCCGGATGTCCCCGGCTCACCGGGCCCCCGCCGGCCGCACCGGCCCCGGGCGGGGGGTGGTGGGTGCTCCCGGGGAGCGCCGGTACCCGCCGGGCCGCGAGGACGAGTCGGGCTGTGGGGAGGCCGCCGCCTCCCGCCCGCCACGGCGGGAGCGGGCGGCAGCAACGGCTGGTTGCCCCGGCAACGGCTCCCGGCGGGCAGCGGCGGCGGCGGCGGTGAGGGGCCGGTGTTCGCGGTCGCGGAGGCCGGGGAGGGGACACTGCCTCGTAGGAGGGGTGCTGAGGGGACACTGCCCCGCGAAGGGGGTGCTGAGGGGACACTGCCTCGTAGGAGGGGTGCTGAGGGGACACTGCCTCGGGAGGGGTGCTGAGGGGACACTGCCCCGCGGAGGGGGTGCTGAGGGGACACTGCCTCGTAGGAGGGGTGCTGAGGGGACACTGCCTCGGGAGGGGTGCTGAGGGGACACTGCCCCGCGGAGGGGGTGCTGAGGGGACACTGCCTCGTAGGAGGGGTGCTGAGGGGACACTGCCTCGGGAGGGGTGCTGAGGGGACACTGCCTCGTAGGAGGGGTGCTGAGGGGGGCAGTGGGGAATCGCAGCTGTGAGCCTTACTCCATCCATGTGTGTATTCAGTTTCCTGCTGCTGAGGGATTTGATTTCTGTGCAGCGGATGTGTGAATTCAGTGTTGCTTAAGTCGTGAATATATGTGCAAGATTTCAGTCGCATTAACTGTGTTAAATCTCTGATGAGACTGGGGTTTACTTGGTCTGGTACACTGTATTTTATCCCAGGGAATAACCAGGGATACCAGTAATGCTTCAGTTACTGATTCACGGAACACCAATACGTGTTAACATACACTGTCTTTTTATACAGCATTAAAACAAAATGTCATCGTCATCCTCGTCTTTACCTGTACATAACTGTACTGCTCCTTTATTGGACTTTGATCTTCAGGAAAAGTATCTTCTTCCTCATGCTACTGAGGCAAGTTCATTCTGTTCCTGTTAAGCTTGATTTTTTTTAATTCTCTTCACTTTGTTAACAAGATATTTCAAAAAATACTTCTAAGCTACAGATGGGAAGTAGGTAATACTTCAAAAAATGGGTGAGAGTGCTGGACATAACAATGGTATAATGAAACTATGGAATAATTCTTATTTGCTTTTTTTCTGCTTACGTAGGTGGGCTAGGATAAATGAAATGATGTTCAATCTTCCAAGATGGTGTTTTCACTGGAAGTAATTAAATTCAAGACCTGCAGTGTGTTATACAAATTGAGGTCTGCCAGGAAATGTAGTCTCTAATAACCCAGGAGACATAAATTTATATTAAAAAAAAACCAAACAAACAACAGTAGATGTTTGGAGTGTAGTTATTTACCTTATGGCAACAGTTGGAAGCACAGCAGGCTACATTCTGATTCTGTGAGGAAGTGATGTTTTTAGTTGGGAACTTCTCAATTTCTGTTACACATTTTCTCAATTATGCTAAGGAGATATGGATGTAAGAATATAAACTTGGTCTGACAAATCCTTTTGATGGAGAAGCACCTGGCACAGGCTGAAAGCAGGAGAAATGGGTCCTGGTGGGTGGAGAAGGCAAGAAAATCCACTTCTGAAAAATAACGTGTAGTCAATGGAGCACTGAGTGGAGTAAACAGATAACATTGTGCTTGGCCCTTGCTGGAGTGCGAGGGCAGAGGCTAGAGAGAGATGGTTGGAGAAAGGGTGAGGGTGATGGCAGGTCTCTGGTGCTTGACAAGGAAGTGGGGGGGAATGGGATGCATTTAGGTAGTAGGCACTGATACTTGGCTCTTGACTTGCCAAGACACGGACAGCATCCTGTCCCTGTGCAGCCCTGCCTGGTGAGGAGCTCTTCCAAACTGGGAAATGAGAAAAGCCATTGCTGCCTCCAAATTGGAAGAACTCTGCTATGAAACATGGAATCAGTATCTGACCAGGACTTGGCCTCTAACTCCACTGGAGGTAGCCTTTGCCTTGTAGATTGCATGTGTTCTGTAAGCGATCAGTTTGAGGGTGCATCCTGTGGTATCACAGGCTTTGGCCGTTGGAAGTCATAAATAAGAGATTTATTTGATCTTTAAAATTAGCTCTCAAAGAGCTAACTTGTTTTATGTTGATATCCTTGAATTAGCAAGATCAGTGTCCTAACTGTGAGTGAGACTAAATGGTATGTAATTGTGAATGCTATTTCAGGGGTAAACGTATGTGCCACCTGGGGATATAGGAAAAATCTGTTCACTGATTCAGCCATATAAAAAGGATTATCATAGGACTATAAAAGCCACCTAAGATGGAAAATATTTTACTGATCTAAGCAAAGAATTTGACAGTCTAGAACACCAAGTATATGTAAGGCATAAACATGGAACCAATGCAAATGTACATTTTTTCACATGACTCTTAAACTAACATTTAGTCTTACTATCTTCTTTAATAGATGTATAGGGAAGATTTTTTTGTTATATCCTGTGCATAGCCCTGCTCCTGTGAAGTTGGAAGGCATTTGGCGGGCTATATATGTTAAAGCAGGAGGTGGATCACAATGAATTCCTGTTTAACAGTGGTGTCGTATGGAACACACACAGAAACCTGAAGAATGTAGATTTCTTTAAAATTAAATATGATTTGTCATTGCTTACTTTCTTAGCTTTCTTTCAGAAGTCATAAAGCTAACCTTCTGTTCTTGTAATCTGAAAGAGACGGGTGTTTATTCTGATTTTTTTTCTTTTAATTTTAAAGTTAATATTCTTGATTTTCAGGTTTTCATAGACAATGCTAACTCTTTTACAGCGTAAGGCTTTTTGTTGATCATTAGAGAGAAAATTTATAGAGAACTAACAGTGGGGAAGACAATTTCCTCAGAATGGAAAGGTAGTATGGGTAATTTAGGTTCCCAGTCACTTCTCAATTCTGGGAAGTCTTCTAATCTTCTGAACTTCTGGTTTTGCTAATAAATTACTGTGGGGTCACAAAACACCATTCCTGTTTATGTATTATTTTTTTGCTGATAGCAAATCTGACTCAGTGCAATCAGGAAAGGATAGATCTACTACTGAATACAATGTTTATAAATTTGCAGTGCATGCAGAGGTGGAAATCTGGATGTAGAATTTACCTACTGACTTTACAGATAAACATGGGATAAAGATTACAGAACATTCTGAGGAATTACGTGCAGGCTAGGATAAGATGAATGCTTTGCAAGGAGTTGTAGTAAAACTTTTGATGGCAGAGTTTCCACCTTGAGGCAAGGGGTTTATTCTCTCACTAGTAAAATTAAAATGTTTAGGATTTAAAGTCTGAAAGTCCTGCAGGTCTGTTTTCTTTAAATGGAAAGTAACTGCACCCCCAAATTGAGGCATTTTAAAATGAGAAGTTTAGTTGACAATATTATAGGCACATAAATTCTTTTGGATTTGTAGTAACAGTTAATGTGGCATGATTTTTGTGATCTCCCAGCCTATGCTTTCTTGTTCAGTCTTCAAATTCTCCCATCTAACTGAAGTTTCTGAAAGTTTTTAATACTTAATATATCTTTAAAATATTACAAGTTGTAAAAATGCTTTTACTGTTTGACTAGTTTTTTAAATAACGCTTAAGCATTTATAGTATTTAGAGTCCTTTTAGCTAAAATAAATAATGAGATTTGCATATGGAATGATCCTAGGTTTTTTTCTTCGGCTATGAAGATCTGTGTGCAAAATAAATTGAATCTTTAGGGTTTAAACCACCAACTCTAAGTAGCTCATAAGTATGCAAGCTTTTATATTCATATGTACCAAATTTGAAAATGTAGCAAGTTATATGTACTGAATTCAAAACTGTTGAAAAACTTCTAAATCAATTGTAATTGGAAGTAATTTTTCAATGTTTCCTACTTTTGTCTTGCAGTTAAACAGTAAAAACCTTGACACTTTGATGCAGAAATTAAGTGAAAACGAAACCCGAAACACTGTAAGTAAATTAAAATTTCTGTCTCTTTTTGTTCTATGCTGTAACATCTGAAAACGGCTATGTCATGGGATCATACAACTTCAAGTGACAGTGGCAAAGTGGGTGTATTTGTGGTTTATCATCACAAAATGGAGCTGAAATTACAGCTGAAATGTTCATCAGTGTGCATTACTGTTGGATTGCTGTGTACAGACATTAAAATAATTTCTTTCTTTCTTTTTTTTTTTTCCATGAAGAATCTCAGGAGAAAAATACTTGAAAGGGAGAAACATGTTAAAGAACTTTCATCCAGACTTCAGCTTGAAAAAGTAAGTGACCGGTACTGTTGTAATGAATGTTTTTTCCCAATGTACTAGATTCTTATTTACAAGTTTTAGATGTTGAGAAAAACAATTATTTCAAAGATCTATGAAAAAAAAGGAAAATAGGAAAATCCTGAAAGATGTTTCCTACAGAAATGTCCTAAAACCATGAAGACTATATCCAAACCTATTAGAGATACAGATTGTCCTTAAGACTAATGTGCCACAGTTCAAGGTGGGGCACACATCTAGAGTAGTGACTTTTTGGCTTCTCATTTACATAGCCATAGCTCTGGAAAAAAACAGTTATAATGAAGTAATACAAGGTAAACTAAAGAGATACTGTTGACAGTTAGTTTCCATGGCTCTTTGAGCTCAGTGAATAGGAAAAGGTAGTACTGACTGACAGGACCTCATTTGTTCTCTGAACCAAAGGGAGGGGCTCAGGGTGGAAACCAACATAGGAAGAGAAGAATTGTCTGTCCTGTATAAGAAGGTACTATAAAAGTTCCAAAAGTTTCAAAATTGTTTTACTACTAGTTTCGCAATCTGTGTTACCGTACTTGTATACCTAAAGTGCACTTTATGTGTAAGCAATGCAGCGGGGCTCAGTGTTATTGAGGGACAGAGTAGGCTCCTTTAAACCTTTAAGGGAAAAATGGTGTACTTTGATTTTTGTAACTCCTTGGAGTATGTTGAGAGCCATGGTTGTTCTTTAAGAATTCTTCTCTGCTTAACCAAGAGGATGTATCACTTGGCTGCAGGATAAGTGAATTGTGATAGAGGAGCTGTGGAGGTGTGCACTTTCACACCTGCAATTGACATGTCCTTGTCTTTATATTGAAATGAAGCAGCATATTTTCAGAGAAACATTTTTTGCTTGAAAGTAGAAATGCTGAACAGAAAAGCCTATAAAGATTCTGAAGGCCACAAGGTCAGCAAATGTCAGTATTGATAGTATCTGTGCAGCATGCCGTGCCCTGACTAGAGATCTATCTAATGTAGAACGACTTGTGGTGCCCAGCATCTGAAGGAATAAATTATTGTCTATATCCCCTTGTTCCTTCTTATATTATCTCCAATCAATACCTAAGTCTGAGTCTGCCTTTCTTCCTGGTATTTATAATGAACATCTGCACTGGTGTGTTACAATGTTATTCTTGTCTATACTGATAATATGATTTCTTTCTGCCTGTCTTCATTATTTCTTATTTAGATTGACCAAAGGAATCAAGTTGCAAGGAATTTCATAGAATCATGACCAAAGTTCTGGTGACATAAATTGCCTCTACCCTTGTGCTTTATGTATCACCCCCAAAATAGAGTTTGAATTAAGTGTATCAATACTTCTAATAGCTGGTGGTGATCTTTGGTATTTAATGAAGATCAGTTCAGGTCTAATTAGTCTGGACAGAGCTGATCAGCGTGGCTTAATTTTGGTCAAACTAGTAGCTAGATGCCTTTGCTCAGCCTGAATTTCTGAGTTCATGTTTCCAGGCCTCGTTCATACTACTTAAAGAGTCAGATTAAATGAGGCATTAATTATACATACATTCTTTCAAGGTCGTGATTTATGTTTAACATTAATAACATTAGTAACAAGTCACTGCTTGTGAATATACTTTTAAAGCCTCTTTTATCTTTTCCAGGTTTTGAGGGCATTCAAATGTCAGCTAGAAACTACGGCAAAGTAGAAAGACTATAGATAGCATTATGCAGCCTGTCTCCATAGACCAATAGAATTGTGTTTTTTTCTCTTTCTTAGGTCAATGTACAGAAAGAAGGCCACCTGTCAAGATCAGTAAAGGCAGTACAAGCTCACCTACAGTGTCAGATTCAAAGAAAAGAAGTGGAAAATTATAAACTAAAAGTGAAAATACAGGTCAACATATTTTTTCTTGTGTTTCAGTTTATTTGAAAAAATTAGCAAAGTCTTATTGTGATCAGAGTTTAACTCAGATATGAGAGTTAAATCTTAAGGTATCCCTTGAAATCAAACTCTTGGTGAAAGAAAAATCCCAAACTGTAAAAATCATTAGCATTTATATTTTGCATAGTCAGTCTGCTTGACCACACTATCTTAATTGCAAGGGTTTTTTTTTTGCTATTCTTTTATCAACTTGTGCATGCTAACAGTTCTGTTGAAAAGAAGTTAAGCACACATAGAAGCATTTGCAGATCCTGAGGCAGTCTCCATATAGTCAATAGAATAAGATAGGCAAGTCCCCAGGATTAGTTTCTGTGGTAAGATAGCGGTGAAGAATCACCACCTGTTTCTTTCTATTGACTGTGAAGGAATCAATAAACCTCTTAATACTGACTGAAAGAGAAACACTTAAAACTAATGTCTAGCCTCACTTTGCTCAAGCTAGGTGACATTATTGCCATTTTCTGTGTGAAAAAGCAAGAGGTAAATATGGGCATTTGCATCAGTTATTGGCTTTAGAACAAGGCAAGGAAGAGCTTGTGTCAGAGGCTGGAGCTATATGTGGCTTCAGATTTCAGTATTTGAAACTTGTCAAGAACATAGGCATGAATGACCAAACATTGGCTAAAAAATAACGTATTTCTAATTTCTGAACTTTTTAAAGTAACATATAATCCCTATTAATTGTATCATCTGAAGTTGTTGAAGAACCCATAGCAACTCAATTTCAAAAATAGTCATGTATGTCTGTAAATACCTCATTTTCTTCTGAATGAAAATTGCTTTGTTGTTCTAGCTAATATAATTATAGAATTCCAACAACATTTTCATTAGATATAGTAGCTTGATATGCAACTGTATTTTCATTCAATCTTTATTTAAAAGTTTTGTTTGTTTGCTTTTCAAATAATGCTGAAGTCAGTTGCTAGCTTAAATCCTGGTGATGATTTTGTTAATATCTGGACAAAAGCTTGCAAAAGCTTAGCATTACCCTTATGAAATTAGTTCTTAATTTAAATTTGCCTCAGCAACTGAATAATGCCAAAAGCACTTATTCTTAGTGGGATTGTGACCTCCTGCGGTTATAACAGGGGATAACAGTTGTTTACTTATACCAACAGTTAAAGAATTCCATACATAAACTCAGATTTCCTCTTTGCTCTGTTTATTGAAGGTGTTCTGCTGTCCCCCCCTGCAAGTGACATCTTTGTTTATTAAGTGCCTTATAAGCATCTATATAGGAAAACTGCTTCCTTCATATTTGGGTTTTTTTGTAATTTCTTTTTTTGAAGTAGTACTATTCCTTTGTGGTGAGTCTCAGTACCTGAGACCACCTTTTACTTGGAAAATCACGCACACTGAATAAGGCTGGCAGATTAACGTAGTCACTAGGTAAATGCCATGTCATTCTGGTGTTTACTCATGTGGAACGTAATTAAGTGTCAGACCTAGACTGAAAGGTAGGAAACGTGCATTAATTGTTCTTACAATAAGTATATTTATCCAATTAGGATATAAATCCAAGATCTTAATTTTCAAATTTCATATGCAGTTAGACTGATCTCCAGCCCTAGTTACGTATGGATGCACTATAGGTTCAGAACACAGATTACTACTACATCAGTGGATATCACTAAGAGCATTGTTAAGGTGATATTCTTTATATAAATCGGCCACAAGGGATGATGAAACCGCTTTTCTTTTCCTTGTCATAAAAATGGGCCATGCCTTCTACATTGAAATTCTGCATTCATATCCAAGAGCACACAGCAACAGTTAGATTGCTCTCTTTCTCCCTACTCCTGCCTGCTTCTGCACCTCCTCAGCCTCTTCTCTTGATCATCTTAATAATGAGTTTCTCAACATGTATTTTCTCTTGCCTGCTGCTGTACATAACCTTGGTTAGCTCCTTGTATCCACAGGATATGAGATACAAAAACGTTATGGAAACAGATTTTAAATGCAATTGGTACTCCTGATTATGTTATGTCACAAAATGATCTGTAAAGTATAGAATTTGAAAACAGTTGATGTTTAATTATGCTGCAGACTCTAGAAGAGAAAATAGCAAAGTGGAAACTTCAAGTTTGTGAATGCAAGCGTCAGATGCTAGCCTTAAGGGAAACAAGTAAGCAAAAGAAGACAACTCTGAAAAAAGCAATCAGGTCCCAGAAACAAAGAGCTGAATGCTTTGAAGCAGCTGTGGAAAATTTAACCTCCAGAATAAGAGAACGTGTGAGTGACCACGCTGTGAACAATGATGTTGTGCTGTATTGCTTTAAATTGAACAACTGGGAGATTTTCCTCTGTGGAAAATAGGAAAAGTTGGTTGGTCATGCTGTGTTTGTATCTCTCGAATTTTTTGCTTCTTATAGGTTGCTGTAAGTGACACGCAAACTGCTACTACATTCACTGTCTTTGTTTTGTTAAAATTTAGTGAATGTCTTAAGCCATGAGATTGTACATTTCAAACAGTAGTGAGTAAGAAGAGTCTGATCAGCTTTCAGTTACATCTCTCCTGATCTTTATGGATATACATTGACTAACTCAAAGTACATTATACTAACTCAGAATGCATGATTGGAGTTTGAAGTCTTTGTTTTCTTTATTTATCAGTGTGTGACATCTCATATGGATACTTTGCTTTCTGTTTCTAAGCTTCGTGCTCTGAAACCTTTCAAAATCCAAGTACAGAACCTCCCGAATCCAAATTATTCCTTAGATTCTTGTCCTGGATATCCCTACACTGTGTAATTGTTCAAAAAGCCCTGATGGATCAGAACTGTGCTGAGATTTTTACTGCCTTATTTAGATTTCCTCTCTTAGATTTTGTCATGATTTTGGATATGTCAGTATTAAAGATACCTTTTTCCAGGTAGTATACCAGGAGATGGTTAATAATGCTTTTTTTTTGTTTTCTTTGATCTTTGTGAGAACACAGTAGTGGATCTTTAGGTACACAGGCAACTAACTCCTGAATTTTTGATGTTTTGTAGTTGAACTGTTGTTTTCTTTACCCATTGAAGACCTAGTGTACTTTCAAGTGTGTGTTGGTTAATTATCCATACTTCTTTGAGAGATTTATATGTAGTAGAGAAGTATTTGAGACAAATATTTTTGTTTTAAGAAAAGATTTTCATTTTAAATTTTGAAATATTGTTGTATACTACTGTTGATATGCAGTGCCAGTGTTTCACTGTGTCTCTTGAAAGTAAGTCTGTACTTAGACTTTAATTTTTTAAAATGTGGGTAGTTTTATTTATTTTCTTTTGAGACAAGACAAAATTTGCATTGCTTTGTACTAGGGAGATCCAAAAAAAGCCAGCTCATATTAAAAAGCTCTTGTGTTTAGAAAAATTTGTAGAACTAGATGGCATTCTTCAGTGACATTCTTTTGTTACATAATTCGTAATATCTGTATTCTCTAGGAAGTCAAACTGTCTGAGATACTGTCAGCTTCTGATGTCTGGAAAAGCCAGCATGGTAGAATGGTTGAAGGAAAGATGACATTAGAAATTCAAATAGAAGATCTGAAGAAGTAAGTTAAAATGTTGATCTATTTTTTTTTGTTTCTGTAGGCAGACAGTGTTGATATTTAGCGGTGTAATACTCAGTGTTGACAACGTAATCAAATTTATGTATTATTTTACAACTCTGAGCAGAATTATAAGTTGGAAACTAGAACAAGCTTAAGATTTTTAGCTTTCTTTCTGCTGCATTTCACAACTTTTTAAAAAAATTCATTCCCCTTTACAAGTAAGAAACATATTCTTGCCCCTGTATACTTCTGATTTGCCTGAACTTGCTAGTACCTACCATGCTGCTTCCTCAGAACCACTTATTTAGTAACTGATTCAACAGCTTCAGTGTTAACCCTTGTGTCTACTGCAGTATTAAAGAGGGTTCTTGGACTCGTAGTTTCTACTTCAGACTTATGATGGCAAAATTATGTTAGTACCACTAATGTCTCACCCCACTAGAGGACAGAGAAGGGTTCCTCTCAGAGGCATGTTTGAACAATTTATTCTTGTAAGGAAAAGCAACACAAAATTGTCCAACACTATTCAAACTATGCAGTCAAATCTTAATTTACATAAAGGATGTATCATTTTCTTTGGCAGATAGTGACAAATATCCTTTTACCTTTTCTGTCGATAATTCAAAATAAGCAAAAGAAACCTGTAGGTGCATTTATGCTAGGTCTAAGATGGAATTTCATTTTACAAAGAACTTGCTTCATACTCAAATATGTAACAGCTCAAATTAAATTGGCTTGACTCTTTTGGTTTTGTTTCAGAAAATCTGATGTTTCTGAAAACATTTTCAGCATATTTTAAATTTAACAGGAGCACAGGTACATGACATCAGTCCAGAAATCTGTATAGCCCACTGTTGGTGCAGTGTATATGAGGAGGCATCTAGGAAAGAATAAGAAAAGGGAAGCATCTGTGATACTTCTGTTGAGTACTCATTCTTCCTCCAGTTGTTTTTTGCTGTTTTCATTTTAGCTGAACATATAAGTCTTTGCTTGAAATGTACCATTCTAACAAGACTTGTTCTACTAGGCAGTGTATGAGTAACTAAACAGCAAAACAAAGTTCATTGTTTAACTTCATTAACATGAAAAGCAAATGGTGAGGCACAGCACAAGTTGTTACTTTTAATAACAGACAGTACCATTCCTAAACTAGTTATGGAATGTTCTTAGTAGGACATTACCTGGTAGACTCTATAAATTCAATATAATTCCATTTTGTCAAGTATGTGTATAAATAGTTGTCTTGGAAGTATGCTTGGATGTACTAAGTAATGAATTCATTTATAAATGGGCTAGCACCACTTCCTTGGTGGACCACTCTTTTGGATAGTTTTGTATTTCAATAGATGCTCCTTTCTTGGGATGCTTAAATACATTCTCCCCCTTTATTTTTTTAAATAAACTAAGAACAATGGAGGAGTATGAGTTAAGGTACAATTTAATTTGCATAGTGAGAGTTTGGAAGCATTTTATATTATGCAGAAGTTCTTGCCTATCTAACAAGGCAGATCACGAGCCTTTTGGAAGACCTGAAAAAAAAGGAGGAATGGAGAAGAAGCTCAGATGAGGAAATTCTTGGAAAGCTAAATTCTGTTAACTCTGAAAATGAAAAGATTTACCTTGAAAATGAAAAATTAAAGGTGAGATCATTATAAATTATTGTTGAATGGCTCTGCATTTCTGATATATTAATGAAGTAATCACATTAATTCCCTTTGGGCCTTCTGTCTAGAGATCCCAAACCTGTAGAATAAATTCTGTCATCCCTTTTTTACAGTAAGTGAAAATAAGACATTAAAAATTTATCAGTGGAAATCTATGGCAAACCTAGGAACAGGGTTGTCTAATCATCTGATTAATCAGGATGCCATTTATTTTACTGTTGGTAGCTACAAAATTGCTTAACTAGAAATTGTTCTTTTATGTTTATAAAATTTTCTTTCAAATGAAAGAACTAAGTTTAGCTCAATTATAAACTTCAAGTTTTAAAGAGTTTACAGGTTTTGTATTGTATTTATCCTCCAAAATAAATCACAGAATCACAGAATCATCATAGTTGGAAGGGACCTCTGAGATCATTGAGTCCAACCTCAAAAAAAAATGTTCATGTAGACATGAAGAGCCATGTCTACACGTTTCTTAAATACCTCCAGCGATGGTGACTCCACCACCTCCCTGGGCAGGCTATTCCCGTGCCTGACCACTTTCTCAGTAAAGTAATTCTTCCTAATATCTAATCTAAACCTCCCCTGCTGCAACTTTCAACCATTTCCTCTGGTCCTGTCATCATTCCCTTGGGAGAAGAGGCCAACACCCACCTCTCTACAACCTCCTTTCAGGTAGTTGTAGAGGGCAATGAGGTCCCCCCTCAGCCTCCTCTTCTCCAAACTAAACATGCCCAGTTCCCTCAACCTCTCCTCATATGACTTGTTCTCTAGACCCCTCACCAGCTTGGTGGCTCTCTGGACATGCTCCACCACTTCAATGTCCTTCCTGTAGTGAGGGGCCCAAAACTGAACACAGTACTCAAGATGAGGCTTCACCAGTGCCGAGTACAGAGGCATGATGACTTCCCTGCTCCTGCTGGCCACGCTATTCCTGATACAGGCCAGGATGCTGTTGGTCTTCTTGGCCACCTGGGCACACTGCTGGCTCATGTTAAGCCGGCTGTCCACCAACACTCCCAGGTCCTTTTCTGCTGGGCAGCTTTCCAGCCACTCTTCCCCAAGCCTGTAGTGTTGCCTGGGGTTGTTGTGACTTAAATGTAGGACCTGGCACTTGGCCTTATTAAACCTCTTCCCATTGGCCTTGGCCCATCGATCCAGTCTGTCCAGATCCCTCTGTAGAGCCTTCTGACCCTCAAGCAGATCAACACTCCCACCTAGTTTGGTGTCATTTGCAAACTTACTGAGGGTGCACTCAATCCCCTTATCTAGATCATCAATAAAGATATTAAACAAGACTGGCCCCAAAACTGAGCCCTGAGGGACACCACTGCTGACCGGTCGCCAACTGGATTTCGCCCTATTAATCACAACTCTCTGGGCATGGCCATCCAGCCAGTTTTTTATCCAGTGAAGATATTCTAACATAAAATGTTCTCATGGAGCTGACAAACTGTGGGCTATCATTTTTGTTTGACAGATAAATAATTGTGTCACTCTTTAATGCCTGCAGGTCACTTCCTAGTAATATCATATTGTAGATTGTGTTATTTTAATAGAACTTTCACAATTTTTATATTTTCCCTGTTTTAATCAAGGTTTACCTTGCTACATTGGAAAACAGTGCTGTTTCTGTTGAAAATGAGCTGCTAAATCTGCAAGAAAAGGCAAAGCTGCAGAAAAACCTTGTTGAGCAGTACAAAAATCAGGTGAATAGAATAATTGAAATGTTCAAGTATGGTTTTTGAATTTTTAAGCAGTTTTGAGGAAATTATAAAGGTTTTGTTTGTAATAAAACAGATTTGTTGTCATGGCGATTGTAATACTGTTGTAACATCGAGGATGATAGAAGAGAGTGCCATTACAAACCACATCCAAGAATAGTCTCCACACTATTACTAGTACACATAATCCTCGCTGAATTTTGTGGCGCCCAGTTGAAGCTCATTGAAGCAAACAGAGCTATTTACATACTTGCTTAGAAAATATTTCCTTCCTAAAAAGCAAGTTGGCAACCCAGTAACCTATATTTTAAAAGTAAACTTTGAGTCTGATGTCTTTAGTGGACACATCCAATGATATTTTACCTCTCCTTGGTAATATCTTTATTTCCACATTCCTAAGAGCAGTAAACCAGCATTCAAGTACAGTTGTAAGAGTCTTTTTATTTACATAGTAGCTCCACATTGAAACTACAGGCAAAACATATAAATCAGACTGAAAATGGGCTTTTTATCAATTCCTTCTTTGTATTTGGCTTAATTTATCAAGAAGACATTTTTGAACATTGATTTGAAGTTTTTTATATTTCTGCTATAATATAGACACCATTTCACTAACAATCTTTACCTACCTCTTTTTTAAATCATTGACAAGAGAAAATACATGATACAAAATGCAAGTACAACCAGTGTGCCTTGCCTGCGGAATGCATCACCACAACTAAAGTTGTTGCCAGCTTTAGGATGGGAGATGTAGTTCCAGGGAACAGCTAGCCTTAAGCAGTGAGTGGGATGACATTCCCTTGCTCATACCTGTGGTGAGTCCAGGCAGGAACTGTCGGTGATACTTGTTATTTGGGGAGAGAAAGGTGAGTCATACAGGCTGCTTCTCTAGCACAACTCTAGCTCATTCTTTGTTGTTGAAAACAAAATGTTGGTATCAGAGTGCTTTTACCAGGATAATGAAAATAAATAAATTCACATAATGACAAATATTGAAAATCTATTTAGAAATCAAAGGTTTTCCTTTATGCTTCATACTAATGAAGTATCTTTTCTAAATTTAAAAGAATCTTTTCTATATATAGAAGAAACACCTTGCAAAGGTATGTGAAAAATATATGTTGTCCTAGGTACAAAAATTACAAACAGCAGTAGAAGAATTGAAATCCAGATGTGGAACAGTCTTAAATGAAAACAAAAGAATAACAGAAACCAAATGCTTAGAAGTAGATAAGGTAAGCATGTTTCCAAACAATTCCATAGGACATAGATCTTTCTTACATTATTATGATCCTCTTATTAGAAGTCACAAGGTACTGGCTCTTTTTCTTTTCTTTTTTCTTTTCCTTGTATAAAATTGTTTTTAAATTCACTGAATGTTTTACTAACTCTTACTTGTGGGCTGGGAGTTTTTTGGATGCCACACAATTGCAAACACTTGAGAAATGGTTCCTAGAGTAACGACTACTTTAGGATTCGAGAATTCTTTTATCACTTTTAAATGTGATTTTGTTGTTGATGATTTTAAAACTAAATCCCTCAACAGAACAGCTGTGAAAGTTGTGTGGGGAAGCAAAGCTAACGTAAAACTGCTTTGTTGTAACTAGTAGTTAAAACAGAGATCCACACAGAGATGAGTTTTAAGTTTTTCAGCAGATGGATCTGAATACTGGAATACAGTTAGCACATTATTAAGCATCAGAAAACAATACAAAATAGTTAGGGAAATCACTTTCCTCAGTTCCAGTAAAATCACTTTCCTCAGTTCAGTAAAATACGTATTTTTTTAAGTGATAAAGCTGAGGCAGGGACATATTTTGCATTGCCTGCAATGTTCTGTTTTAGAGAACAGAATTAGTCCTCACAGAGAAGGATCTTGGGTGTTCATTTTATTCCCTACTAACTTTATTATTCCGTGATTGAATTGAAGAATGGAGAAAAATATTTTCTGATCCTGTAACTAATATTTGCACAGCATTGTGTGTGGTTTCAGATGGCATTAGGTGTTGCCATCTTTTCAAATACTGCAATAGTTGTATGGTCAGAATTTTTCCTATAGAGTGCTTAATGTGTCTGTATGCCATCTCCTAAAATAAATTGCAATAAAAATACAATCAAAATTTGGACATTGCATGATGAACTGATTACACTTGCGTAGTTTTTTTTAACTGCTATTTGAATGTTACTGAGTCATTAATGAAATGTAGTCAGAGATGGAAATTTCTCCAATGGTGAACATGTAACTTTGTCAGAATTCTATAAAATAGGTGATATTATGCAACTTGTGTAGAATTTCAGATTTATTACTGACATGGAAAGCCATTAAGTATAACAACAATTAATTTATGGTTACATTTTTCTCCTGTGATGCTACTATGCAGGTGAGGGACAAAACAGAGTTAAAGGAGTTAGAACAAGTTTGTGACTTGCTGAAAGCAGCTGAGGAGAAGCAACAAGCATATCAGGAAAATCTCATATCCTGGGAAAGGATCCATACACAGAAATGCAAAACCCTTAAGGAGCTGCAGGTTCAGGTGCATAGATCATGCTGATATTTAAAGATAAATGAGAAAATTGTGTGGAAGAAAAAGTCTCTGGAACACTTTTATCCTATTAGCACGTGTGACAGTTGTGCGGCTTCCTTTGTTATTTGCCTCATAAATCAAAAGCTTCTTCTGTAGAAATAGCATAATGCAAATAAAACTATTGCCAACTGTATTTATGTGAATTCAGTATGTGACAAGACTAGTTACTTCTAGATTTGTATCTTTTAAGTAAGTATATTCTTGATCCTATTGAATACTTGTGTCCTGAGAATTCTCCTTATGTCCTGTGTTGCAGAATTCTTCCCTGGAAATAAATGTGCAAGTCTAGTTATTGTTTTTTTTCTGGTGGAATAATTTAATTCCACATTAGTTTTGTTTTTAATGACTAATTTATAAACCAGACGATATTTGCTTAGATAAATAGTAATAAATTATATTTTTGATGATGTAGAACCATAACATATTAATGATTACATTGTGTTGGTGGATAAAATATTCTTAAAAATGTGCTTTAATAGGTTCATTTCTATTTTTAGCAGTATTTTAGCACTCCTGCTTGTATTTTCTCTTAAGCCTGAGTATTAGTATTCACCAGGTATTTTTCTGTGACACCAGTTTTTAATGGCAGGGCTAAGTTTGGGGGGTTTTGTTGTTTTCTTTTTTTTTTTTTTTTTTTTAATGTGCTTTTGAGTTAGAAGAGAATATTCTACTAGCACGAATGACAAATGTTTTTGAATCGACAGGGTGGGAAATGGGCTTAATCTTCCTGTGTCAGTGGGAAAATTGCAGCAGAAAACATAGTGAGTCTCTGTGTTCCTATAGACTGTATATGCGTTTAAAAAAATAGCTCTTGATTTTGTTTTAAATTTCTTGCAAAGATGAGCTTTATAGCATCAAATCTTGTTCATGTTTGTATGATTTTAATTACTCCTTACAGGAATGCTCATGAGCTCATAAATCCATCTTTGCTTAGCAAAGTACTTAAGCAACAATTATTTTTGAGGTTCATATATAAAATTATGTATGTAATTTTAATCTAACTACATGTTTTCCTGAATAAAAGCAAAAAAAAAATTCTTTAAGTATAGTGAAGTATTTGGGAATATAGTCACTAGTCAGGTGGAATAGCAATCAAATTTCAGCATTAAATCTTGGTGACATCTTTGAGAAATTCTAACCTTTGATCTTGTGACCAGAATTTAGAATTCTTTTTGAAGTAACTGAATCATCTGCAGAAACCCTCTTCTAGGTTCAGCTGGACCAGGACATGTTTACTATCCCTCTGCTGGTAGTTTCTGCTAATACCAGTCTGCTGGTTGAGCATCCTGTAATTTCCATAAAATCAGCCAGATTAGTTTAAATTGCTGGATTGAACTGCTGGAGGTAGTCCAGTGAATGACGGAGGTTTCTGCTTAAAGAGCAGTGCCAGCAGGCTGGTGATGTGGCTACTTATTGCTAACCTGGTGTTGATGGATGGTAGGAAGAGCAATAATCTCATCACTGCTGTCATGAGATTTAAAAGAAAACATGTAAAAGTTTGTCAGTCTGGATGCTGGGCAGGGGAAGACAGTTTGGCTTCTTGCTTTCTGCAGCATCTGCTGCTGATATACCTTTTTTTAGGAACTTGATTGTCTTTTTTGATATTCACTGCTTTCTGAAATTCTTTGCCAGTGCTAGACTGTTCTGTGATAACTATATATACACGGTATTATTTCTGTGCTTCCTGTGACTGTAGTGTGAGGCAACTTATTTTTCCTGGAATCTAAAGCTTAAGAGTCAAAGTTCACAAAGAGGTAAACCCGGCCAACTGCTAATACACAAGGCTACATGAGCAGCATATGGGTTTTGTTAGGACTTCACTTTGTTACGTAGCAGGTTTTCAGTCTTAAAGCATTCACACAAAGTTTTAGTCTGCTACTTTGGCTGTATTCTATTTGTTTTAAATCCAAGATAATGTTTACTTGAATATAATATAGTGTTTACCTGAAACTACAGTTAAATTATTTGATTGGATTTTAATAGGCAAGCTTAATTTACTCTGTAATATCCTGTATATAGGCATCTTCAACTAGAAATGAATTGTCATTTTCACATGAGGAAGACAGTGTAACTTCCATGAGCAGTCATTTCTTAGAAGAAGAAAACCATAACATTCAGAAGAAATACGAAGATCTTAAAAGGTAACTTTTTAAAAAATTTGACTGCAATTCTTTCCTACACTTTTCTGCTATAGTGTATTATAATGTATTAATTTGTTTTGCATAAAGGCAATTAGAAAAGATGGAATTTCAAAATGAAGAACTTGCGTGTCAGCTCAAAAAAGAAGATGAGAATCTTCAGTGCAGTAAATTGCATCTTGAAGAGAAAATTGCAGAATACAATGGATTAACCAGACAACTGGAATCTGCTTTAGAAGAAGGGAGAAAAATGGTATGGATGATTTAATACATGTTAATGGTGTTTGCCATTTTCTATTTAAAAATAGCTTTAAAAACAAATGTGCTTGAGAAGAAAAGATGGAACAAGATTATTTTGCATGTAGGGAGCAATACTAAAAAGTTACTGGGAATTTATGCATCTTTAAGTATGGATTGCCCAATTCAACTTTATGGAATTTGGATGCTATTGAAATTAATAACAAAGTTCAGTGAACCAGCATTTCGCTATCATTTCTTTGGTGACAAATCAAGTTGCTTTAACCACCTAATATTAAATCCCACACATATGGCAAAAGGCTTCTGAAAAAAATCTTGCCTTTTTCTTATTTTCTTTGTAATAGGCAGCCCACAAAAATTTTGGTGTTGAAATCTTTCTCATTTTAGAGGAAGGCTTTTCACACTTCTAATATTAAACAGAGATTTGTCATTTATATAAAGGATGCAAAGATTAAATCAAATGAAAGAGGAAATGTAGAATTTAGATTGCAGTGAATTACCTTATTTTCATCAGAAAATATGTATGAAGCTATAATTTCTGCCTCAGATTAATTATGTTGAAATAAACCATATGAATTTTCACAATACTGTCTGAGGATACTGATTCTGTTTTGAAAAAATAACATATTTGGCTTACCTTACAAATGAGTTACAAAAGTGTCTCCCTCACAGTAATACTACGTTTTTTTCCAAATCGAAATTTCTTTCAAATTTAGCTGGAGTATTTCCCAGGTTTGTTTAATTTCTGTGCATGAGAAATAACTAAAGTATTGATGACAGAATTGGAAATAGAGCTATTAATTTCGTTTGGGCTTTAAGTGAAAATAACTAAGCATAATTTCTCTCTCATTACTCTTATAGATAGCTGAAGAACTGGAAAAAATGTCATACAAAGAACAAGCCCTTCAGACAAAAATATTAGTTCTTGAAACTGAAGTGAGAGAAGGGCAAGAAGAGAAAAAACAGCTCCTTTGCATATTTCACCGTGTGAGTAAATAATATTGCTTATGACTTAAGAAATTACCACATCACTGTTTACAGTAAATGTCCCTTTTACTGAAGACCACAATACTAATAGATATACTTTGCATATTGACATTTCTAATAGACTTAACAGATGCCCAGTCTAACTAAGTCACTGGAATAATATTGAGTTTACATTTCTTATTCAATCCAGTTTTCCCAGCAAGGCAAAAATCAAAAAATAGTTTTGAAGTTGTAATTTTCCTTTCAGATTAATCATGTTCAGTAAGTATACCTAGATTTGAATAAATCCGTAACAGTCCATATACTGGGTTTTTTTTTTCCCTGAGTTGATTGCAAGAATCTGATCTTACTGGAATTTGTCAAAAGCTTTCAGTTTATGTATGGATGTTGCATATAAACATAGTTAGTAACAAAAGAGATATTCTCATTTTTCAAAGTGTCAAGCCTTTAAATGCCCATGTTTTGATATTCAGCAAAGCCACTGCCTGAGTGTATTTGGATGAGTGATATTTCCTGAAAACAAACAAACAAACAAAAGAAGTCTGATTTATTGTTTTATCTAATCTAGAAAATTTCGGCACATTTGCTATTAATAAAATGTCAGACATAGCTGAATTCCCTAGACTAATGATGGCAAATAATTTTCTTTAGTCAAAGTTTTGATACAGTTAGAGATTTGTCCTGTGATCAGTGACAATAAGTTACAAAGCTATTTAAATTAAAGACACTGAAAAGGTTTACTATCATTCTCCTAGACTTTCAAAAACAATATTCTTTGTTCTGACTTGAAGCTTTCAAGATTAAAATCAAGCCAACCTAAGTGCAAACTCTTTTCAAGATTTAAATAAGACATCTGAGATATGGTTCTGAATACAGTATGCTTTAATTCATTTTTGTCTGTATCAAGTATGACTTAAAGTCTGCATTTACCCTAAGACAAAAGTGTTCCTAAAACAAAATCAGACGTTGGCTAGTGTTTTATTCTACTTCAAATATTTTTTCATAGGAATTTCTTACTATGTTAAAGTAAAATAGAAAATACAGAAATTTTTCTTTGAAGCTTACAGTTAAAAATATAAATGTGAAAGATATAGATGTCTGAGAGAACTGTTCTAAATTAAATAATTTCTTTTTATTCCAATTGCATTTACATATAACTGAGAATGCATTATGGAAAATGATAAAATGGTCTTATTGCTCTTGCCATAGTGAAACTGGAAAAATATAGGACTGTGAAGGTAACTTTATTCAGTTATTCATTCTAACCTGATTCATTCTAACCTGATTCTAACCTTAGAAGGCTGGATTTAAATCTGACGACCACAATTCCATGTTTTAAAAATTGAATTGATTTTAACCAACTAGCTTCTGACATATGTAATAGACATAATAGGAAACACCTGAATATATGTAGTATTTATATAACAGATGATCTATGGTGTGCATCAGGTGTGGAGCTAATGAGCTATTAATAATTTTTCTTATATAAGGAACTGTAGGCATCAGAAATCATGTTGCATCAGAAATCAATAACAGATGTTTCTTTGGAAAATCAACATGAGAAAGAGTGTTAAATCCATAATAGATTTAAGATGCTAGGAATCTTTCATGATAAAAATTCAGAAGGTTAGTTTTTACATTCCCAGAACTTGCTTTGGATTATAAGCCTGTTCAAACATGTTCAGTTTGGTCCTGACTGAACATAAATAAAGCTTTGATATTTTGAGACCTTTTTGAGAACCTTCAGTTTCCTGGAGCCTCTGGAAACTTTTACAGGTAAATAAGACAGCTAGTTCCTAATTTTTATAAGCCTTACATTATTCTTTTGATTTATTTGTATTTTATTTCTAATTTGCATTGCATTTCTCTTTTTTCTTTAGAATGAAAAGCACCATGAAGTATGTTTGAAAGAGCTGGAGAACAGCCTGCAGAAGTCAGAGAACAAGAACCACAGCATCCAGAATTATGTGCAGTTTTTGAAAGCTTCATATATAACAATGTTTGGCTGAACTCTTTAGTTTATTTAATAATAAAGAAAATTTTCAATATTTGGCTCTAACTCTTGTTGGAGGCAAGACTATTGAGGCCTTATAGTATTTTGCAGGATTGAGTACTATAATGTTAGTTCTTGCCTAGGAAAACCTCCGCTGTGGGCAGGGAAAAGCAGGTCAGTCATCACGTTATATCCTACTGGCTGGTCACATATGGGAAATTTACCTGGTATTACTGATATAAAGAATTGTATTATTCATGGAACAGAAGTGACAAGGCAGACTGCATGACAATAGGGACAGGTGTGTAAGTGTGGGGTATGAGTACAAAGTTGTAAATTGGACTGTCAATTTACCATGTGTTAGGTCCCATGCTGCAATTTCTTACCTATGTCCTTTTAGTCCATGGAAAAAGCAGATGATCACTGATTACCTTTCAACTCACATCAGGTAAGACAATCCCCATGGACTGGTTGCATAACAATTCATGTATTTTAATTATTAATACATATATAATATTTATTAGTCATTATACTTTTGTTACTGTAGAAATCTAGTTGCCCAAGATAATGATATCTATTCTACCAAGACAGGCAAAAATTTAGAGAGCATTAGGTTCCCTTCCTTTCTTTTCCCTATAGCTTAGTACCAATATAGCAGGTCCTGCTATGCTGCATGGAGTAGTTGCCGCCACAAGGCTGTCCCATCCAGCCTTTTTTCACTATATCCCATTATGATCAGAGGTATACTATAGAAATATTTTACAAATATAAGTAGGAAAATATTTTAGATACAGATACAGTTTAAGCTCTGAATATGTTGATATACCCTTTCACGGTGACACAGCTCCAATAAGGTATTAAATATTTGTCTGTGTTTGAGTACTAGAGCTGCTGTTCACTGAAGTAAGACTGAGTTATGCCTCAGGTTAAGCATGTAAACAGTCAGCTGATACAGGGCTAATAGAAAAAACAATTCTGATTGAGAATGTAATTGTTTTTATAGATATATGCCGTGATGTTTTTTGAGAATTAGTACATTCAGGTAAATATATGTAATTTAGAATGTGTATTTAAATACTATATATTTTTTTGACTGAGAACCCAAATTAATTCATGCATAGACAATACCTGCTTGTTAGACATATTATTTTATTGTTAGTTATTTATAATGTGTAGAATGTTGATTTTTTTTATTTTTTTTTTTTTTAATTCCTGTGTCATTTGCAAGAAATAGATCAGGAATTATTGAAGTTGCTGAGAGCTTCAGGTACTTCTTTACTTCTACAAACAGAATAAATGTAAGACATGTCAAAGTATATGTGTTTTCATTTGTTAAAAAATTAGGAATTTGCATTTTTTCAGCTCAACTCATAGTTTCCATTCTATTAATCTAGTCTTTCTTTTCTTCATATTCAATCACTGGAACATACATTCTTGATCTTTGGAATCTTGGAAATATCGTAAAAATGAAGACAGCATTTTCCAAATAATGGTGGAGTTTTTATGGCTCTTCATTGCTGATTGGTTTTTTGCACGGTAGAAATAGGGCTACTAGTCACATTTTTTTGTCAGTTCCTTTTTTGAACTGGTGTTAGCTGATCATGTTATTCGCATTTTAAATTTTTTTAGCTCATTTTGAGAAAGAAGTTGCTGTGTTGGTTTTTTTTTAATAAAGAAAAGAATTAAATTATTTTTCTAGTACCTCAGGAGCTGGCATTTACTCTAGATTGCTGCCTGTATTTTTTGTAACTGTGTAAAATACAGCTGAAGTGGTTCTTGCCTTGTTCATTTTAAACCTAGAAACCTGCATGTCATGCTGCAGAATTCATGGGTACAGCTATACTGAATTGACAGTATTTTGGAATGCTGATATTTTTCTTTAAAGCAATTCATTTTTACTGTCTGCATCACATAGCAAAGTGACATTCCATTTTCTAGGAAGAAACCGGCTCCTTAATTTTGCTTTTCCTGGAGTTTTAATCTCCAGATGATTTTAGAAGCTCTTGATAATGACGGTGTTACCAGCATCTCACCTCTCAGTCTTTTTTCAAATGAAATTTTGTTTTAGCATTTCCCCCTAAAAATGCTTAATATGCTGTTGCAGTTTTCAAATAAAGACAGTCAGATGAAACATCTTACTGCTACAAATATGTGCAGAAAAACTATCAAAACAACATTTACTGGTCCTTACTGTACTTGCTTATGTGACGGTGTTTTCAGCCTGTTAGTGCTCATTCACAGCACCCTTAGCAAGCAGGAATGTTTCTCTTCTGCTGCTCAGGAAGTCCTCGGCCAGAGAAGCAGCAGAAATCAGAGATTCTATGTAAAAGCTTAAGCATGCCTTCAATGACAAGCTTGTTCAGTAGAAAGTTTAGAGATTTTAGTTGGGTAGGAACAGGATAGATAACACCAGTTTTTTAATCTTTATTTTTTTCTCTAACTCACTGTATTTAGATTTTCTAGTAAGAAGACATTTTTACCCTAGACTTACTAAAGTACACAGTCATATGTTATGCACTGTATATAGGATTTTTTTAGAAGATTTTGTGGTAATTTTTCACAAAGGCTGACTCAGGATGATCCAAGGTACATAAGACAGCCCGTGGCTGAACTGACACTAGTGTTCTTTTTGTAAATCCAATCAAAGCCACCTACAATGTTACCATTTTCCCTCAACATCTCTATAGTGCTTTATTTGCTACCCACGTTAAATAATTAATGAAATCTTTTTCTATAGAGTTTTCCAGGAATGGTTTAAGTGTGATTGCTACGGCCCTGCTTTTGAGTCAGTTTGGTTTGTCATTTATAGCTGGGTGCAGAGACTCTGCCAGCAGGACACACACAATTTAAAAGCATACAGCAGTTATTTATTGGCTGGCACACACAGAAGACAGATAGTCAGGATTTAATGAGCTATTAGCCTAAGGACTCGTATGCTCTCCCCTTGTCGGTCCTGTGCTGTGTCAGCCGGGCAAGTGTCAGCCGGGCAGGCAGAGTCAGGCGGGAAGAGTTGGGATCGGGGGAACAGATCCCCCCGTTGCTGGTTTTCCCTCTTCCACCAGCTTTGTCTGCACTGATGGCTTTCAAAATTGCACTTTAAAATGTCATTTAGAGATCATGCTGCATTTAAATCTGTATGGTGCTCCTTGCCACTGTGGTGTGTACTGCGGCAGACGTCTCTTAATGGGACAGCATTTCAGAGTTAGGAAAAACCAAGTGCTTTGATGTTGGCAGATTCACTTGCTAGTCAGTGCATTTCCATATTCAATCATAATTTCTGAGCTTTAATTAGGTTAACTTGTAAGCGTGCAGAGTTCTGAAATTGGCAGAACTTAAAGAGTTCACCCAAACTCTCTACCCGTGCAATTCTTTATCTGTGATACAATGGACAGTAACACATTGGTGCCTCATTTCTTGTTGGGTTTTGAGAAAGAAATGATTTGAAGTAGAAGATCATTATCTTATCATATGCTTTAGATTTGTTAATGTATGGGAACACAGAATTTAAAGCAGAAGCATAAGTCTTAGGGCTACTTGAGGCCCTAGCCCCTTTAATCCTGTCTGCCAAGTAGCTTATTATTAGTGGCTTAAGGTTGATTGAAGAACTTTATCTGTTTCCTATCCGTGGCACAAAAACTGCTATAAATCCTCTTTTAAGATGGAGTCTTTCCAGTAAGAGCACAGAAACTCAATAATTTCTCTCTGGACGCCTGCCTCATTAAGGGATATCTTTATAGAAGATTGCTGAGCTCTGTATGGACGACTCCTCAGTCGAGTGTGAAAGGTTACTAGCACGGAGTTTCTTTTGACTAGTCCTTTTATCTATTTAATGGTGAATGAAATCAACACTTGGATTTTTGTGAAAAGTTTAAGAAGGGACCGTTCTCATGCAGCTCAAAATGTCTTCTGCCAGAATCGTGTCCAGTGTCCTGCCTTGGAAAAGAGCCAGATAAGACTTTTTGTGACAAAATCACTTCATCGGGGATTTTCCTACAGGAAAAGTGACTTGGCTTCCTGCGCTGACAAGCTGTTTGGCAGCATAACATCTGCGTGCAGCCCTTCCAGCGCCGGGAGGCCCAGAGCCGGCCAGCACAAACAGGGATCAAAGCAGGGCCCGATAGGAAAGGGTTGTGTGGGGCGTGAAGTAGATGCAATGATTTCATACAGATTTCTTTTTGCTTTTTCAACGAAAGCTTCCTGTGGACCGCTTTAACGCTGACATAGCTCAAGCATGTTTCTTAAGTCCGGAGAAGTGAGAGCACTGTCTTGATGTCCACTGATGGGGAATTCAAGCTGTCAAAAACACTAATTTATTGCAGTCGCGCAGGGCACCCTGTTACACATTTGGATTCAGAATATTCTCTTGCCTACTTCCGTCTGAGCAGTAACCCTATAGCAGCTGTCACTCGGTAGTAAAGCTTCCAAACGTTTAAAAATGGAGTGTGTTTTATATTGCCATCCACATCTATCTGCACCCTTCACCCAGGATTCTTGAGGTCCTGCTGCTGGTTTACAACCTTTGGATAAGGCTTTTACAGCTACTAACAGTAGGAATATCATCCTAGTGATAAATAAGTCATTCCCACTCAGACTAATCTAGTGTCTTTAAAATGCTGGTTTTATTGAGAACAATAATATTGTTTCCAGGAAGTAAAACTGACTTATAAACAGACCGTTTCTGTTTATTTGACAGACCAGATCAAATACCTGATTAACATATCGTAAGACTTTTATGGCAGATTAATCTACTTCATTTAAAAGCAATAAGAGAAAGGATGTTTTTATGTGTAGAGACACTGCTGCAATCTTGCCTCTCTCTTACAACAGAATAAACAGAATTTTGTCAGCTGTAAAACTGTACCTTCCAATTTATTGACAACATAAATATTTCATATGCCACTCTCCCTTTCGGTGGTACTACTAAAAATTGAAACCAGGTCTTCTTGGTTAAGTTTTGCATGCTTTTCATCCAATTCAACCTTTCAAAAAAAATCTTTGATAACATCTAATTTCTAAAGCAGCTGTTACACGTCCAACAACCATCTCCAGATCTCCCATCAACGTTTCAGGCAAGCCGAGCCCCTGTTCATTATCACCGTGACCACATTCCTATTCTTAGCAGAGATTCTCCCTTGCAGAGCAGCAGCCGGCCCTGCTGTGGCAGCAGTCCACTTACTAATTTACAACTCCACCCACTAAATGCCACTGTGAATTATAAACTACCCGAGTAAACCATGTATTTTTAACACCCTCAATTTTACCATCGTGCCTGTTTATGAAAGTCAAAGATATTTTTTGAAGTGTAAAAATGCTAAGTTGGCATTTCAGGTTATTCTCAGGACATTGGTTGTTCCTCCATAGTAAGGTGTCCTCCTCATCTCTTCACTTGAGAAAATCGGTACATTAATATGCTGCAAAACCCAAACTGTTTTGTACGAACATTTCATTCTTTTTCTAGAGGGAAAAATCTTAAGAAATCTGAAGAAAGAACCCAATGTAGGAGATTTCAAGTCTTTGTTTAAATCCTTTGCCAGACTGCAGGCAAACTTTTCTAATTCTGTCCTAGGCTTTATGTCCAATTCGTTTCTGAATTTCTTACAATGCAGTAGAATATTAGGTCCTGTGCTTTATGAGCCACATAAAACATGGTAATGACATCAGTGTTTAAATGCCACTGCTTAGGTTTTGGTTGTGTGTTTTTTTTTTATTTAAATTGGATTGTGTTGTAACAGAGATGATATTTGAACTTAAGTAGAATTTGCTGAAGCAAATTTCAGCCACAGTCTGTTAGTCATTTACGTGTACTTAGCTTGAAGCACACAAGTAACCCTTTTGAGACAGCCAGTGATTCAAAGCCAACTTTTTTTCTTGCAGATTACTTTGTAGAGACAAACAATATACTTCATGGGTTGCCATATTTTATAACAATTTGATCATAAATACAATTAAACTATGTAAAACACAAAATCTACCTCATGTACCCTATCAATGCTGTGAAGTGTTACTGAGTTGTAAGTAGTGCTAGTTCATTTTTTTTAAACTGATAAGGCTGCTCAATTGTTTAAAACCAGCAAGTACTGGAAAAATGACACATAAGATTTTAAATAGCCTGTTTCTCTTCTACCTTTGGTGCTCACTGTCTTCCCACAATGTAGACTACTTTAATTTTGAAAGAGTAAAATGACAGATAAATAGTGTCATAACAAAATTTTAGAACCATGATACTTTTTAGAACTATGATAAAGGA